TTTATTAGGTTTTTTCGTGGGTATGTGGCGTTTGTGTTGAACGGAGAAGAAGCTCACAGTGCTAAGAGACAATGGCGAAGGCCCGAGCCGATGCGGTAGAGTGAGAGCTAGCCCAGAAACTCAATTGAGATCAGATCCTTGTTCCTCTTGAATCACCAGAAACACATCAAAACGTGGATCCTTCCTGCAATTGGCTCTCTGAAGTATCACGAGGATGGCGATCGGAGAAGAAGCATCGGATGTGTTTCTCTCAGAGAAGAAGGTTGTGAAAGCTGAAAGCGGAAGCTCTGAAATGGGCCGAGACTTGGGCCAATTTTTACTACTCGTTCTAAAGACTTAGCCATGGGCCTATCGAGAATGTACCATTGGGCCATTTCAGGCCAGATTTATAGTTACCCTGTCTTACAAGAAATAGTTAGCATCTCCCTTGCAATAAGATTGAGGAATCAACTCCGCCCAAACTTTCCGAGATTTGTTTTCTTCCATCGAAAGATAAATCAAATTCTAATACTTGTAACATTAAATGTATATCGGGGAGAAAAATAAATATTAATGTCAAAATTTAACAGTTTACAATAATATTACCAATCTTTTTGGAGAAAATTGTGAAAGAATTCAGTCGTACAGAAGAACCTATTGCAGTGACAAAATTGTGAGACACAACAAAGTCTCGACGAGCATTTGAAACTTTGTACATATAACTCTTTCAAGGAAAGCTTGGTGCCTCATGAGATTCCACGAGAATTTGTCTCTTTCTTCTTCTTACCCAAACAAAGCTTCCTAATCCAACTCCACCGACCTTTATGTTTACTGCTTTTGACGACACTTCCATCACTCTGCTTTTCCCATTTGCTGCTACTACTCTCACCTTCCTCCCCCAACATCTCTACACCACACTCAATAATCTCGTCATCCATGACAGTCTCGGGATACACTCGCTTGCAGCTGAATTCAAACTGAATCTCGCTCGTAGTCGCGCCCACTTCATCGCATCTGTGTTCTTTAAACAGGGTCCCAGAAAATACAAACATGTGTCCTGTTATGAGTTGATAAGACGAACCCCAAACGACTGGCGTACTGTAAATAAGTTTATTGATGAGAACCCCTTTGCTTCTTAGACGACAAACAACTTCACTCATGTACCAGTAACCTTCGGTTGGGGAAAGCAGGAGGCAAGCCTTAAATCTTGAGGACGTAGAGAAAGTCCCCTCGGAGATGGTAATGGAGTTTCCTTTAGATTTGTGAGTGAAATACGCAGGGACTTCTTTACTTGGTAAGAATACACTCATGTAACCCGATCGTTGTATGATTACTCTTATTGCTTCTTCGTCCAGTTTCACACAATTTATGAATGAGATTTGTCTTGTTGGATTGTAGAAGAAAGGGGAAGATACTCTTATCGGGTCTTTCTCTGATTTAACACACTTGCAGTCGTTGACTGTAGTATATGCCTCTGGTTCATCGAATGAGAAACAAAGGCTTTTGAGCGATCCACAATTAGTTGCATCTAGCTTTAAAAGCGAAGGCGGAAGACTCTGCATTGACACCAGCTTTCTGCAGTTTTGGACGATAAGATACTCTAGACCAGGGAGACCAATGACGCAGTCTGGAATCTTCTTTATATCACTGTTTCTTAGGTTTAACACCCTTACACATTTGGGGACATGTGTTAATCTCTTGAGGCTTCTGCTACCTATCTCAAGCCTGTCAAGACGAAGCCAACTTCCAGCAACTGATGCAGGAACATCTTCTATCTTTGTGTTGCTTGCTTCAAGATGTCTGATGTTGCTAGAAAGATCTGGAAAAGTTCTCAATCGCGAGCAACCGCTCATGTTGACTTCCTCAAGAGATGCTAAGTTGATGTTGGTTGGAATAACTCGTAGCTTTCTGCAGCCAAACATGTTCAAACATTTCAGTTTGTGTAGATTCTTGATAGAAGAGGGAAGCTCCACCAAACTTTCGCAACTCATCAGTGTCAATGACTTGAGATTAGTAGCCTTCGAAAGATCTGGGATTTCTTTCAACATAAGGGAATCCTTCAGGTTTATCGTCTTCAGATTTGCAAGGGGCTGCATGTGTCAAACACAACAAATTAGAAAAGAAAAAATCATATGGAGCTTTTTCATAAACAAATACCAACCTGGATTCCTTCCCAGAGCTTTTCAAGATTGCTGCCTTCCATAGAAATTTCGATGAGACATTCTGGTTTAAATGTTGGAGGAAGATATTTTCTTGGGTATGAAGGCCAACGTAGTAACTTCAAACGAGGTAGATATGTCATGTCCTCTGATATTGACAGTTTAGCACGAGGATACCCATGGATTCTCAAGAATTGAAGATTACGCATTCCTTCAAAGGCACGCCCGCTTATAGAAAGCTCACCCATGTCGGAGATATCAAATGATATACCTATGACAGATCCAGTTCCCTATAAATTATTCCAAAAAGAAAGACAGATGAAATTGTCATAAAAAAAACAAAATATTTGTTGAGCAAGTTCGTAGATAAGTATGTAAGAACTTACTGTTTCATTTGCTAGTACATTATAAATCTCTTTAGCCTCTACTAAAAACTGACGTTTCCCAGGCTCATCTGATTGTTCACGAACAACTTGTCTACCCAATTGTTCTAGTAAAGAATGCATCACTATCCTCTGATAAGAGAAATCCAATATTGCAAACGCTTCGGACCGCCTTTCTTTGATTTCCACAAGAGATTTGACGGCTAGGGTCTTCAGCCCGTTTTCGACATCCAAATTACTGTCTGCCAGCATGATTGTCACATCGTAATGTGTAATCCCACGAAAAGAACGGAAATAATCATTGTTGAAGAAGCATGCGATGTGGAGAAACAGAGCTTGATCTTTCTTGGACAATCTGTCGTATCCCATTCTTAATACGTTCTCGATTTTTCCATGAAGACTACTTTCGATCCTTGATATCTGAAGTTCCCACTCGTCCTTGCTATCCCCACGCAACGATGAACCCACAACAGAAAGGGCTAGTGGAAGATTACCGCAAAGCCCAACTACTTTATTTGCAACCTCTTCGAAACCATCTGGTACAGATCTCTTTTCGAAAGCAAATAGACATAAGATCTCAAGAGCCTTTTCATCGGATGGAAATCCCACATCGTAGATCTCGTTAATCTTGTGTGCTTTCAAAATCTTTTTATCTTCCGTGGTAACAACGATCCGACTTCCTGAACCAAACCAAGAAGGATCTCCAGCCAAAACCTCTAATTGCTCTACATCATCTACATCATCTAAAATGATAAACACTTTTTGATCTTTCAGCCATTCTTTTATCCCCCTTAAATGATGTACCCTCATATCCCCTTGGTTCAAAAGCTTAGACAGAAGTTGGTTTTGCAACGTTAGCTTTGATTCGTAATCATCAACACCCACTATGCTCCTATAACTTCCTCCTCTAAGGTTCCCCATAAAACAACTAAGTCCAAAATCGCTAGAAACTAGATTGTATAAAGCTCTAGCAATGGTAGTCTTACCTATTCCTGCAGGACCCCAAATTCCAATCATCTTCACATTGTTGCACTCGAGGCATAACAAAGTGCCCAGCTTTCTCAAGTGAGCTTCCATGCCAACCATTCCATCGAAATCCCTCGACGGTGAAGATTCCAGATTCTTGGAAACATCTCTAGCAATCTTTTGGAGCATATCTGCTTCGGTAGCCCTAACAAAAAGCCAAACAAACAAAATCTTGTTTAGATTTGGAAAAACGTTTCCACCATTTTCTTGAGAAAGATGCAAAACTCATACCAATTTTTAGAATGTTCTCCAGCTATGGTTGCTACATCTGCCAAAGATTTGCTCCATTTCTGCTTGACTTCCTCTTCTTTCCCTTCACAAGTTCTCTCAAAAGCGTTTCCGAAATCTCCCCTCTGCTTCCGAACATCAGACGGATCAACTTCGTAAAAAACAGGCATCACGATCTGCCCCCAAGCGTCTTTGCAGTTCATGATTTCAACCAATTCGTCTAAGCACCAGCTCGAAGAAGCGTAGTTCTTCGAGAGCAGAACGATCGAGATTCTTGATTCGCTAATGGCCTTCACGAGCTCAGGTCCGATCGTGTGGCTTCTCTCGATCTCATGATCTTTGAACGTTATGATCCCTTTGCTTGCAAAGTAGTTGTGTAAATGACTGACAATCCCTTTACGGACATCTGCGCCGTGGAAGCTCGGGAAGACATGGTATCTCGTTATGCGTGAGGGCGAAGAAGAAGGAGAAGAATAAGATGAACAACTAACCAAAGTCATATGAGAGACTGGTTGAAAGATGAATCAAAGAAAGTATTGCAATGTCGTTTATAATATATATTGATGGAAAACGAGTAAGGAGAAGAGAGAAAATTCAAAGATGCAATTTCTATGTAATTGTTTCCTCAAAAGTCGTCGACGACCCTATTAAAGTTATCGGTCTTGTACTCTTGTGCCTTTGCCTCCAAGGAGGAATTTTCATTATGGGTCACGGGCCCGCATATTGTTTGTCAAGCCGTCGTTATCGTCTTCCTCCGGGTAAAGAAATATGTTGGAAATGGAACACTTTTTACATTTTACATCACTATGCAACATAATTTACTTCTTACATTTACATAACTATGCTTGTAAGTTGTAACTTGTCTAATTTGTGGAATTCTTTTGTCCTTGTATTTGTATATTGATTATTCATTTTGTCAAAAACAAAAAAAAACTCCCATATATATAATATATATTTTAACATATTTTACACTTTAATTAAGTTTGAGTTTGTGTAAATTTCACTTTAGCCTAAGGCTCAAATAATAATTCCAAACTGATCAAAAATCAACAAATCTAGTTCCTTTAGCAGTACAGTGTTTTGTATTTATTAGAATACACACGTTTACAAGCATATGTCGAGTGTAATATATCTCAATGATCTTACAGCTATCTATAAACAGATTATACAGGAAACAACAAAAGACTTGTGAGCTTCAAATCTGAAAATCTGTTGCAGGAGTCTTCTATGATGTTCTTCTCCCCGGTGTAAACACATTGGTGTGAGATTTTGTCAGGTAAGTAAAATTCAGACATGGAGGCAAAGGAGATACACACACACCTTTCTTCAAAAGATCTTCAAGATCAAGTCTTTGCAATGTCAACACAACTCTAGTTTCTTTCCAAACAAACATGAGAAGACCTTTAGATGTCACAAACAGTGAACCCGGTTTGTAACCAGGATACCTGAAACCATAACCTTTCGCAATACCTTCTCCTGCGTAAGAATACTCAAAATCTTCTCCATTTGTATCATCAAAAGGAAAGAGCTCAAAAGAAGGAGAACCAATCTTTACAGCAAACATTGCTGATCCATTAGGATGCATCACGTAGTGAGTACCTTCAAGTATTTTCGTCCCTATAAGAAGTCTCTCACTCTCATCTTGAGATTCTTCATAAGTGAGCATCACTAAAAACAGAGCCTTTCCTGGTTTCTCTTCAGTACATTTCCCAGGCGGCCAACCAAATGTTCCTCCCCACAAACCGGCGCACTCTTGACTGTTCACCGGGTTCTTAATCGGTAGCTTGTAAATTTTTGGGTTTTATCAGTTTCGTGCATGTTTGGCCAACCTCTGTACGAAGAAAGCTTAGTCTTTGAAGCGCCGGCATTGGAATGGAATAAAGCATATATTCTGTTATCTTCAAGGTTTGATTGAATTTGGATTATATTATTCTAGAAACCCTGAGGTTGGTCTAGTTGGTTTTGCAGATGCAGGATATCTGTCTGATCCGCATAAAGCTCGGTCGCAAACTGGATATGTTTTCACATTTGGTGGAACTGCGATCTCTTGGCGATCTCAAAAGCAAACTTTGGTCGCGACTTCTTCAAACTATGCGAAGATTATTGCGCTTCATGAAGCATGCAGAGAATGTGTATGGCTTCGGTCGATAGTTCATCACATACAAGAAGCAAGCAGAATAATCACAGACAAAGAACCAACAAAAGTGTTTGAAGACAATGCTGCTTGTGTCGCTCAAATTAAGGAATGTTATATCAAGAGCGATAGAACGAAGCATATCCCTCCAAGATTTTTCTCATATACTCAAGAGCTCGAGAAAAAAAAGGAAGTGGATGTTCAGTATGTTCGTTCAAGTGACAACACAGCTGATCTCTTCACAAAAGCGCTTCCTACTACAACATTCAAGAAACATGTTCATAGTATTAGAATGCGGCATCTACGAGATTTGTGAAGAGAGGATGAGATCCATCTTTTCCAGGGGGAGTTTGCTTTTGCTGTACTCTTTTTCCCTTTATCATGGTTTTTATCTCATTGGATTTTTCCATGGAAAGGTTTTTTAACGAGGCAGCACACAACTTCACAGCGATGGATACTCATGCGCCATTTCGAGGGGGAGCGCCACTGCACTCTTTTTCCTGTCATGGTTTTATCCCACACGGGTTTTTCCATGATAAGATTTTTTAACGAGGCAGTACATAATACATCATTAGTGATGGATAATCAAGGGGGAGTGTTAAATGGATAGTGATTATTCATTTGCTTTTGTCTTTATACATTAACATATTAAAAGATAATGTTTATCCATAAGTTTTAGATAATGCTTATCCATATGTTTTGGATAATGCTTATCTATATGTTTCGTCTTTATAGATTAGCTTACTTCACTGAAGTAAGATTTTTCTTATAAATAGAAAACTTCATTCTTTGTAAAATCATAAGTTCAGAAGAAGAAAGAAATGAAGTTCTTATGTTCATCTTTCTCTCTGAAGTTCAAAAGATCTTAAACTCTTCTTTGCTTTTCTTTATAAATTGAATTTGAATTTGCGAATTTCTAATTTGAATTTGCGCAAGAGTTTCTCGACCTGATTCCAGAGAACAGCATCGAAGCTTCGAGTAGACAAAATGTTTAACGGTGTGATGGACCCTGAGATTATTCGGCTAGCTCAAGATCAGATGAGCCGAAAGTCGCCTGCTTATTTCGCTAGGATCCAACAGCAGGTTTCTTAATTTTCCTTGATTCTGAGAACGATTGATTCAAGCTGTTCGATCTTTCCATAATAGTTCATGTTTGAGGGCTAAAATCTGAGTAGGATAATTTGATCTTCTTCCTAATGTTTATTTTAGTTGATTGATTTGATTGTGATTTGCAATTGGGTTTAGTTACTCTTTTTGATGTTCATTTTGTTTAAAAATCAAAGTTTCGTGTGCAAACTCTTTGTTATAACGGATCTAGGTGATTTTCACATCTGTGTAATGAATTTATGTCATTGTTATTACAGATGATGTCGAATCCAGATTTGATGAAAATAATCACTGACATCAGTTCTCTTTAATTTGATCTACCTTATCGCCGACATGTAACTCGCTTTCATTAGGCAACGGGCTGATATAAGGAAGCTGAGAGAAGATGCATCTAACCAACTCATGCATCGTGTGGCGTGCGATAAGCTGCAACAATTCACTTTTGGAGCTTGATTGATGAACAACACGCAAACAAGTGTTGACGATGGTGCAAATGTCTTGATTACTCAATCCATTAGCCGCCTTACTCTTTATGCAAGCCAGAAGAACCTGAAGTATCTTCATCAGAACCACTTCCTCCGAGGCCGGATCAGTTACCTCAAAACGGCAGCTTTTCAAAGCAACGCCGGTGATCGGAGCCCCAGTTTCATCGGACAGAACAACATCCAAAAAGGGCTGTGTGTACAATCTCGGGTCAACGTTTTTAGCCAATTGCTCTGCCATTAGAATATCTGTTTACGCAATTCTTTCAAAGAATGGATCAGAGAATGCTCCAACTGATCATCATCTGCAATGTAGCGAACACCCCACCGTACATTTCTCCTCATCACAGCCAAAACTGCGCCGATCTTGGAATTGATCTCTCGAACTCTCCATGGAACGAGTTGCTTCCCGAAGGATGATTCTGATACCCCATAACTCGTCCCAGCTTTTTGGCTCAAGCACCAAAACACATACGAAGCATTCAAGCTGCAAAACAGTTAAAGGTTTCATGGTGAGAAGCAAGTTCGTAGGAATCACAGAGCCGATGCGGTAGAGTGAGAGCTTGCCCAGAAACTCAATTGAGATCAGATCCTTGTTATTCCTGAATCACCAGAAACACATCAAAACGTGGATCCTTCCTGCAATTGGCTCTGTGGAGTATTACGAGGATGGCGATCGGAGAAGCTTCGGATGTGTTGTTCCCTGAGAGAGATGATCGAAGAGAAGAGGTTGTGAAAGGTCTGAAAGTGGAAGCTCTGAGATGGGCCAAAACTTGGGCCAGATTTTGTTACTGGTTCTAAAGACGTAGTCATGGGCCTATCGAGAATGTACCGTTGGGCCCTCTTTATATTTCAGTCAGATTTTGTTATTAGTTACCTTGTCTTGCAAGAAATATTAGCATCTCCTCCCAAACTTTCCGAGATTTATTTTCTTCCATCGGATGGATTAAATTCTAAAGCTTGTGATTATATCAAAGATTTATTATTCTATGTGTGACATTGATTTAATGTATATCATGCCTTTGATCAATGCCAATAACAAGTTCTTGCTTTACAATAATATAAAATATTACCAATCTTATTGAAGAAAATTGTGAAACGATTCAGTCGTACAAAGAAACCTATTGCAGTGACAAAATTGTGAGACACAACAAAATCTTAAAGAGAATACGACACTTTCTAGAATTACTTCAAAGGATATAATTGGTGTCTCGTGAAATTCCAAGGATAATTTGGCTCTTTCTTCTTCTTACTCAGACCAACATTCCACCGACTTGTATGCTTACTCCTGTTGACGACACTTTCATCTTTAGAGACCTCAACGGCTGCATCACTCTGCTCTTTCCATTTGCTGCTACTACTCTCACCTTCCTCCCCCAACATCTCTACACCACACTCAATAATCTTGTCATCCATGACAGTCTCGGGGTAGTCTTCCTTGTAGCTGAATTCAAACTGAATCTCGCTCGTAGTCGCGCCCGCTTCACCGCATCTGTGTTCTTTAAACAGGGTCCCAGAAAATACAAACATGTGTTCAGTTATGAGTTGATAAGACGAATCCTGAACCACTGGCGGCTTGTAAGTAAGTTCATTGATGAGAACCCCTTTGCTTCTTAGACGACACACAACTTCATTCATGTACGAGTAATCTTCGGTTGGGGAAAGCAGGAGGCAAGCCTTAAATCTTGACGACGCAGAGAAACTCCCCTCAGAGATGGTAATGGAGTTTCCTTTGGCTTTGTGAGTTAAATACTTCGGGACTTCTTTACCTGGTAAGCATAGACACATGTAACCCCATCGTTGTATGATTACTCTTCTTGCTTCTTCGTCTAGTTTCACACAGTTTTCGAACGAGATTTGTCTGGTTGGATTGTAGAAGAAAGGGGAAGATACTCTCACCGCGCCTGTCTCCGATTTAACACACTTGCAGTCGTCGATTGTAGTATACGCCTTTGGTTCATCGAACGAGAAACAAACGCTTTTGAGCAATCCACAATTAGTTGCATCTAGTCTCCAAATCGAAGGCGGGAGACTCTGCATTGACACCAGCTTTCTGCAGTTTTGGACGTTAAGAACCTCTAGACCAGGGAGACTAATGACGCAATCTGGAATCTTCTTTTATATCACTCTCGCTTAGGTTTAACACCCTTACACATTTGGGGACATGTGTTAATCTCTTGAGGCTTCTGCTACCTATCTCAAGCCTGTCAAGACGAAGCCAGCTTCCAGAAATTGATGCAGGAACATCTTCTATCTTTGTGTTGCTTGCTTCAAGATGTCTGATGTTGCTAGAAAGATCTGGAAAAGTTCTTAATCGCGAGCAACCACCCATCCTGACATACTCAAGAGATGCTAAGTTGATGTTGGTTGGAATAACTCGTAGCTTTCTGCAGCCAAACATGTTCAAACATTTCAGTTTGTGTAGATTCTTGATAGAAGAGGGAAGCTCCACCAAACTTTCGCAACTCATCAGTGTCAATGACTTGAGATTAGTAGCCTTCGAAAGATCTGGGATTTCTTTCAACATAAGGGAATCCTTCAGGTTTATCGTCTTCAGATTTGCAAGGGGCTGCATGTGTCAAACACAACAAATTAGAAAAGAAAAAATCATATGGAGCTTTTTCATAAACAAATACCAACCTGGATTCCTTCCCAGAGCTTTTCAAGATTGCTGCCTTCCATAGAAATTTCGATGAGACATTCTGGTTTAAATGTTGGAGGAAGATATTTTCTTGGGTATGAAGGCCAACGTAGTAACTTCAAACGAGGTAGATATGTCATGTCCTCTGATATTGACAGTTTAGCACGAGGATACCCATGGATTCTCAAGAATTGAAGATTACGCATTCCTTCAAAGGCACGCCCGCTTATAGAAAGCTCACCCATGTCGGAGATATCAAATGATATACCTATGACAGATCCAGTTCCCTATAAATTATTCCAAAAAGAAAGACAGATGAAATTGTCATAAAAAAAACAAAATATTTGTTGAGCAAGTTCGTAGATAAGTATGTAAGAACTTACTGTTTCATTTGCTAGTACATTATAAATCTCTTTAGCCTCTACTAAAAACTGACGTTTCCCAGGCTCATCTGATTGTTCACGAACAACTTGTCTACCCAATTGTTCTAGTAAAGAATGCATCACTATCCTCTGATAAGAGAAATCCAATATTGCAAACGCTTCGGACCGCCTTTCTTTGATTTCCACAAGAGATTTGACGGCTAGGGTCTTCAGCCCGTTTTCGACATCCAAATTACTGTCTGCCAGCATGATTGTCACATCGTAATGTGTAATCCCACGAAAAGAACGGAAATAATCATTGTTGAAGAAGCATGCGATGTGGAGAAACAGAGCTTGATCTTTCTTGGACAATCTGTCGTATCCCATTCTTAATACGTTCTCGATTTTTCCATGAAGACTACTTTCGATCCTTGATATCTGAAGTTCCCACTCGTCCTTGCTATCCCCACGCAACGATGAACCCACAACAGAAAGGGCTAGTGGAAGATTACCGCAAAGCCCAACTACTTTATTTGCAACCTCTTCGAAACCATCTGGTACAGATCTCTTTTCGAAAGCAAATAGACATAAGATCTCAAGAGCCTTTTCATCGGATGGAAATCCCACATCGTAGATCTCGTTAATCTTGTGTGCTTTCAAAATCTTTTTATCTTCCGTGGTAACAACGATCCGACTTCCTGAACCAAACCAAGAAGGATCTCCAGCCAAAACCTCTAATTGCTCTACATCATCTACATCATCTAAAATGATAAACACTTTTTTGATCTTTCAGCCATTCTTTTATCCCCCTTAAATGATGTACCCTCATATCCCCTTGGTTCAAAAGCTTAGACAGAAGTTGGTTTTGCAACGTTAGCTTTGATTCGTAATCATCAACACCCACTATGCTCCTATAACTTCCTCCTCTAAGGTTCCCCATAAAACAACTAAGTCCAAAATCGCTAGAAACTAGATTGTATAAAGCTCTAGCAATGGTAGTCTTACCTATTCCTGCAGGACCCCAAATTCCAATCATCTTCACATTGTTGCACTCGAGGCATAACAAAGTGCCCAGCTTTCTCAAGTGAGCTTCCATGCCAACCATTCCATCGAAATCCCTCGACGGTGAAGATTCCAGATTCTTGGAAACATCTCTAGCAATCTTTTGGAGCATATCTGCTTCGGTAGCCCTAACAAAAAGCCAAACAAACAAAATCTTGTTTAGATTTGGAAAAACGTTTCCACCATTTTCTTGAGAAAGATGCAAAACTCATACCAATTTTTAGAATGTTCTCCAGCTATGGTTGCTACATCTGCCAAAGATTTGCTCCATTTCTGCTTGACTTCCTCTTCTTTCCCTTCACAAGTTCTCTCAAAAGCGTTTCCGAAATCTCCCCTCTGCTTCCGAACATCAGACGGATCAACTTCGTAAAAAAACAGGCATCACGATCTGCCCCCAAGCGTCTTTGCAGTTCATGATTTCAACCAATTCGTCTAAGCACCAGCTCGAAGAAGCGTAGTTCTTCGAGAGCAGAACGATCGAGATTCTTGATTCGCTAATGGCCTTCACGAGCTCAGGTCCGATCGTGTGGCTTCTCTCGATCTCATGATCTTTGAACGTTATGATCCCTTTGCTTGCAAAGTAGTTGTGTAAATGACTGACAATCCCTTTACGGACATCTGCGCCGTGGAAGCTCGGGAAGACATGGTATCTCGTTATGCGTGAGGGCGAAGAAGAAGGAGAAGAATAAGATGAACAACTAAACCAAAGTCATATGAGAGACTGGTTGAAAGATGAATCAAAGAAAGTATTGCAATGTCGTTTATAATATATATTGATGGAAAACGAGTAAGGAGAAGAGAAAATTCAAAGATGCAATTTCTATGTAATTGTTTCCTCAAAAGTCGTCGACGACCCTATTAAAGTTATCGGTCTTGTACTCTTGTGCCTTTGCCTCCAAGGAGGAATTTTCATTATGGGTCACGGGCCCGCATATTGTTTGTCAAGCCGTCGTTATCGTCTTCCTCCGGGTAAAGAAATATGTTGGAAATGGAACACTTTTTACATTTTACATCACTATGCAACATAATTTACTTCTTACATTTACATAACTATGCTTGTAAGTTGTAACTTGTCTAATTTGTGGAATTCTTTTGTCCTTGTATTTGTATATTGATTATTCATTTTGTCAAAAACAAAAAAAAACTCCCATATATATAATATATATTTTAACATATTTTACACTTTAATTAAGTTTGAGTTTGTGTAAATTTCACTTTAGCCTAAGGCTCAAATAATAATTCCAAACTGATCAAAAATCAACAAATCTAGTTCCTTTAGCAGTACAGTGTTTTGTATTTATTAGAATACACACGTTTACAAGCATATGTCGAGTGTAATATATCTCAATGATCTTACAGCTATCTATAAACAGATTATACAGGAAACAACAAAAGACTTGTGAGCTTCAAATCTGAAAATCTGTTGCAGGAGTCTTCTATGATGTTCTTCTCCCCGGTGTAAACACATTGGTGTGAGATTTTGTCAGGTAAGTAAAATTCAGACATGGAGGCAAAGGAGATACACACACACACCTTTCTTCAAAAGATCTTCAAGATCAAGTCTTTGCAATGTCAACACAACTCTAGTTTCTTTCCAAACAAACATGAGAAGACCTTTAGATGTCACAAACAGTGAACCCGGTTTGTAACCAGGATACCTGAAACCATAACCTTTCGCAATACCTTCTCCTGCGTAAGAATACTCAAAATCTTCTCCATTTGTATCATCAAAAGGAAAGAGCTCAAAAGAAGGAGAACCAATCTTTACAGCAAACATTGCTGATCCATTAGGATGCATCACGTAGTGAGTACCTTCAAGTATTTTCGTCCCTATAAGAAGTCTCTCACTCTCATCTTGAGATTCTTCATAAGTGAGCATCACTAAAAACAGAGCCTTTCCTGGTTTCTCTTCAGTACATTTCCCAGGCGGCCAACCAAATGTTCCTCCCCACAAACGGCGCACTCTTGACTGTTCACCGGGTTCTTAATCGGTAGCTTGTAAATTTTTGGGTTTTATCAGTTTCGTGCATGTTTGGCCAACCTCTGTACGAAGAAAGCTTAGTCTTTGAAGCGCCGGCATTGGAATGGAATAAAGCATATATTCTGTTATCTTCAAGGTTTGATTGAATTTGGATTATATTATTCTAGAAACCCTGAGGTTGGTCTAGTTGGTTTTGCAGATGCAGGATATCTGTCTGATCCGCATAAAGCTCGGTCGCAAACTGGATATGTTTTCACATTTGGTGGAACTGCGATCTCTTGGCGATCTCAAAAGCAAACTTTGGTCGCGACTTCTTCAAACTATGCGAAGATTATTGCGCTTCATGAAGCATGCAGAGAATGTGTATGGCTTCGGTCGATAGTTCATCACATACAAGAAGCAAGCAGAATAATCACAGACAAAGAACCAACAAAAGTGTTTGAAGACAATGCTGCTTGTGTCGCTCAAATTAAGGAATGTTATATCAAGAGCGATAGAACGAAGCATATCCCTCCAAGATTTTTCTCATATACTCAAGAGCTCGAGAAAAAAAAGGAAGTGGATGTTCAGTATGTTCGTTCAAGTGACAACACAGCTGATCTCTTCACAAAAGCGCTTCCTACTACAACATTCAAGAAACATGTTCATAGTATTAGAATGCGGCATCTACGAGATTTGTGAAGAGAGGATGAGATCCATCTTTTCCAGGGGGAGTTTGCTTTTGCTGTACTCTTTTTCCCTTTATCATGGTTTTTATCTCATTGGATTTTTCCATGGAAAGGTTTTTAACGAGGCAGCACACAACTTCACAGCGATGGATACTCATGCGCCATTTCGAGGGGGAGCGCCACTGCACTCTTTTTCCTGTCATGGTTTTATCCCACACGGGTTTTTCCATGATAAGATTTTTAACGAGGCAGTACATAATACATCATTAGTGATGGATAATCAAGGGGGAGTGTTAAATGGATAGTGATTATTCATTTGCTTTTGTCTTTATACATTAACATATTAAAAGATAATGTTTATCCATAAGTTTTAGATAATGCTTATCCATATGTTTTGGATAATGCTTATCTATATGTTTCGTCTTTATAGATTAGCTTACTTCACTGAAGTAAGATTTTTCTTATAAATAGAAAACTTCATTCTTTGTAAAATCATAAGTTCAGAAGAAGAAAGAAATGAAGTTCTTATGTTCATCTTTCTCTCTGAAGTTCAAAAGATCTTAAACTCTTCTTTGCTTTTCTTTATAAATTGAATTTGAATTTGCGAATTTCTAATTTGAATTTGCGCAAGAGTTTCTCGACCTGATTCCAGAGAACAGCATCGAAGCTTCGAGTAGACAAAATGTTTAACGGTGTGATGGACCCTGAGATTATTCGGCTAGCTCAAGATCAGATGAGCCGAAAGTCGCCTGCTTATTTCGCTAGGATCCAACAGCAGGTTTCTTAATTTTCCTTGATTCTGAGAACGATTGATTCAAGCTGTTCGATCTTTCCATAATAGTTCATGTTTGAGGGCTAAAATCTGAGTAGGATAATTTGATCTTCTTCCTAATGTTTATTTAGTTGATTGATTTGATTGTGATTTGCAATTGGGTTTAGTTACTCTTTTGATGTTCATTTTGTTTAAAAATCAAAGTTTCGTGTGCAAACTCTTTGTTATAACGGATCTAGGTGATTTTCACATCTGTGTAATGAATTTATGTCATTGTTATTACAGATGATGTCGAATCCAGATTTGATGAAAATAATCACTGACATCAGTTCTCTTTAATTTGATCTACCTTATCGCCGACATGTAACTCGCTTTCATTAGGCAACGGGCTGATATAAGGAAGCTGAGAGAAGATGCATCTAACCAACTCATGCATCGTGTGGCGTGCGATAAGCTGCAACAATTCACTTTTGGAGCTTGATTGATGAACAACACGCAAACAAGTGTTGACGATGGTGCAAATGTCTTGATTACTCAATCCATTAGCCGCCTTACTCTTTATGCAAGCCAGAAGAACCTGAAGTATCTTCATCAGAACCACTTCCTCCGAGGCCGGATCAGTTACCTCAAAACGGCAGCTTTTCAAAGCAACGCCGGTGATCGGAGCCCCAGTTTCATCGGACAGAACAACATCCAAAAAGGGCTGTGTGTACAATCTCGGGTCAACGTTTAGCCAATTGCTCTGCCATTAGAATATCTGTTTACGCAATTCTTTCAAAGAATGGATCAGAGAATGCTCCAACTGATCATCATCTGCAATGTAGCGAACACCCCACCGTACATTTCTCCTCATCACAGCCAAAACTGCGCCGATCTTGGAATTGATCTCTCGAACTCTCCATGGAACGAGTTGCTTCCCGAAGGATGATTCTGATACCCCATAACTCGTCCCAGCTTTTTGGCTCAAGCACCAAAACACATACGAAGCATTCAAGCTGCAAAACAGTTAAAGGTTTCATGGTGAGAAGCAAGTTCGTAGGAATCACAGAGCCGATGCGGTAGAGTGAGAGCTTGCCCAGAAACTCAATTGAGATCAGATCCTTGTTATTCCTGAATCACCAGAAACACATCAAAACGTGGATCCTTCCTGCAATTGGCTCTGTGGAGTATTACGAGGATGGCGATCGGAGAAGCTTCGGATGTGTTGTTCCCTGAGAGAGATGATCGAAGAGAAGAGGTTGTGAAAGGTCTGAAAGTGGAAGCTCTGAGATGGGCCAAAACTTGGGCCAGATTTTGTTACTGGTTCTAAAGACGTAGTCATGGGCCTATCGAGAATGTACCGTTGGGCCCTCTTTATATTTCAGTCAGATTTTGTTATTAGTTACCTTGTCTTGCAAGAAATATTAGCATCTCCTCCCAAACTTTCCGAGATTTATTTTCTTCCATCGGATGGATTAAATTCTAAAGCTTGTGATTATATCAAAGATTTATTATTCTATGTGTGACATTGATTTAATGTATATCATGCCTTTGATCAATGCCAATAACAAGTTCTTGCTTTACAATAATATAAAATATTACCAATCTTATTGAAGAAAATTGTGAAACGATTCAGTCGTACAAAGAAACCTATTGCAGTGACAAAATTGTGAGACACAACAAAATCTTAAAGAGAATACGACACTTTCTAGAATTACTTCAAAGGATATAATTGGTGTCTCGTGAAATTCCAAGGATAATTTGGCTCTTTCTTCTTCTTACTCAGACCAACATTCCACCGACTTGTATGCTTACTCCTGTTGACGACACTTTCATCTTTAGAGACCTCAACGGCTGCATCACTCTGCTCTTTCCATTTGCTGCTACTACTCTCACCTTCCTCCCCCAACATCTCTACACCACACTCAATAATCTTGTCATCCATGACAGTCTCGGGGTAGTCTTCCTTGTAGCTGAATTCAAACTGAATCTCGCTCGTAGTCGCGCCCGCTTCACCGCATCTGTGTTCTTTAAACAGGGTCCCAGAAAATACAAACATGTGTTCAGTTATGAGTTGATAAGACGAATCCTGAACCACTGGCGGCTTGTAAGTAAGTTCATTGATGAGAACCCCTTTGCTTCTTAGACGACACACAACTTCATTCATGTACGAGTAATCTTCGGTTGGGGAAAGCAGGAGGCAAGCCTTAAATCTTGACGACGCAGAGAAACTCCCCTCAGAGATGGTAATGGAGTTTCCTTTGGCTTTGTGAGTTAAATACTTCGGGACTTCTTTACCTGGTAAGCATAGACACATGTAACCCCATCGTTGTATGATTACTCTTCTTGCTTCTTCGTCTAGTTTCACACAGTTTTCGAACGAGATTTGTCTGGTTGGATTGTAGAAGAAAGGGGAAGATACTCTCACCGCGCCTGTCTCCGATTTAACACACTTGCAGTCGTCGATTGTAGTATACGCCTTTGGTTCATCGAACGAGAAACAAACGCTTTTGAGCAATCCACAATTAGTTGCATCTAGTCTCCAAATCGAAGGCGGGAGACTCTGCATTGACACCAGCTTTCTGCAGTTTTGGACGTTAAGAACCTCTAGACCAGGGAGACTAATGACGCAATCTGGAATCTTCTTTATATCACTCTCGCTTAGGTTTAACACCCTTACACATTTGGGGACATGTGTTAATCTCTTGAGGCTTCTGCTACCTATCTCAAGCCTGTCAAGACGAAGCCAGCTTCCAGAAATTGATGCAGGAACATCTTCTATCTTTGTGTTGCTTGCTTCAAGATGTCTGATGTTGCTAGAAAGATCTGGAAAAGTTCTTAATCGCGAGCAACCACCCATCCTGACATACTCAAGAGATGCTAAGTTGATGTTGGTTGGAATAACTCGTAGCTTTCTGCAGCCAAACATGTTCAAACATTTCAGTTTGTGTAGATTCTTGATAGAAGAGGGAAGCTCCACCAAACTTTCGCAACTCATCAGTGTCAATGACTTGAGATTAGTAGCCTTCGAAAGATCTGGGATTTCTTTCAACATAAGGGAATCCTTCAGGTTTATCGTCTTCAGATTTGCAAGGGGCTGCATGTGTCAAACACAACAAATTAGAAAAGAAAAAATCATATGGAGCTTTTTCATAAACAAATACCAACCTGGATTCCTTCCCAGAGCTTTTCAAGATTGCTGCCTTCCATAGAAATTTCGATGAGACATTCTGGTTTAAATGTTGGAGGAAGATATTTTCTTGGGTATGAAGGCCAACGTAGTAACTTCAAACGAGGTAGATATGTCATGTCCTCTGATATTGACAGTTTAGCACGAGGATACCCATGGATTCTCAAGAATTGAAGATTACGCATTCCTTCAAAGGCACGCCCGCTTATAGAAAGCTCACCCATGTCGGAGATATCAAATGATATACCTATGACAGATCCAGTTCCCTATAAATTATTCCAAAAAGAAAGACAGATGAAATTGTCATAAAAAAAAACAAAATATTTGTTGAGCAAGTTCGTAGATAAGTATGTAAGAACTTACTGTTTCATTTGCTAGTACATTATAAATCTCTTTAGCCTCTACTAAAAACTGACGTTTCCCAGGCTCATCTGATTGTTCACGAACAACTTGTCTACCCAATTGTTCTAGTAAAGAATGCATCACTATCCTCTGATAAGAGAAATCCAATATTGCAAACGCTTCGGACCGCCTTTCTTTGATTTCCACAAGAGATTTGACGGCTAGGGTCTTCAGCCCGTTTTCGACATCCAAATTACTGTCTGCCAGCATGATTGTCACATCGTAATGTGTAATCCCACGAAAAGAACGGAAATAATCATTGTTGAAGAAGCATGCGATGTGGAGAAACAGAGCTTGATCTTTCTTGGACAATCTGTCGTATCCCATTCTTAATACGTTCTCGATTTTTCCATGAAGACTACTTTCGATCCTTGATATCTGAAGTTCCCACTCGTCCTTGCTATCCCCACGCAACGATGAACCCACAACAGAAAGGGCTAGTGGAAGATTACCGCAAAGCCCAACTACTTTATTTGCAACCTCTTCGAAACCATCTGGTACAGATCTCTTTTCGAAAGCAAATAGACATAAGATCTCAAGAGCCTTTTCATCGGATGGAAATCCCACATCGTAGATCTCGTTAATCTTGTGTGCTTTCAAAATCTTTTTATCTTCCGTGGTAACAACGATCCGACTTCCTGAACCAAACCAAGAAGGATCTCCAGCCAAAACCTCTAATTGCTCTACATCATCTACATCATCTAAAATGATAAACACTTTTTGATCTTTCAGCCATTCTTTTATCCCCCTTAAATGATGTACCCTCATATCCCCTTGGTTCAAAAGCTTAGACAGAAGTTGGTTTTGCAACGTTAGCTTTGATTCGTAATCATCAACACCCACTATGCTCCTATAACTTCCTCCTCTAAGGTTCCCCATAAAACAACTAAGTCCAAAATCGCTAGAAACTAGATTGTATAAAGCTCTAGCAATGGTAGTCTTACCTATTCCTGCAGGACCCCAAATTCCAATCATCTTCACATTGTTGCACTCGAGGCATAACAAAGTGCCCAGCTTTCTCAAGTGAGCTTCCATGCCAACCATTCCATCGAAATCCCTCGACGGTGAAGATTCCAGATTCTTGGAAACATCTCTAGCAATCTTTTGGAGCATATCTGCTTCGGTAGCCCTAACAAAAAGCCAAACAAACAAAATCTTGTTTAGATTTGGAAAAACGTTTCCACCATTTTCTTGAGAAAGATGCAAAACTCATACCAATTTTTAGAATGTTCTCCAGCTATGGTTGCTACATCTGCCAAAGATTTGCTCCATTTCTGCTTGACTTCCTCTTCTTTCCCTTCACAAGTTCTCTCAAAAGCGTTTCCGAAATCTCCCCTCTGCTTCCGAACATCAGACGGATCAACTTCGTAAAAAACAGGCATCACGATCTGCCCCCAAGCGTCTTTGCAGTTCATGATTTCAACCAATTCGTCTAAGCACCAGCTCGAAGAAGCGTAGTTCTTCGAGAGCAGAACGATCGAGATTCTTGATTCGCTAATGGCCTTCACGAGCTCAGGTCCGATCGTGTGGCTTCTCTCGATCTCATGATCTTTGAACGTTATGATCCCTTTGCTTGCAAAGTAGTTGTGTAAATGACTGACAATCCCTTTACGGACATCTGCGCCGTGGAAGCTCGGGAAGACATGGTATCTCGTTATGCGTGAGGGCGAAGAAGAAGGAGAAGAATAAGATGAACAACTAACCAAAGTCATATGAGAGACTGGTTGAAAGATGAATCAAAGAAAGTATTGCAATGTCGTTTATAATATATATTGATGGAAAACGAGTAAGGAGAAGAGAAAATTCAAAGATGCAATTTCTATGTAATTGTTTCCTCAAAAGTCGTCGACGACCCTATTAAAGTTATCGGTCTTGTACTCTTGTGCCTTTGCCTCCAAGGAGGAATTTTCATTATGGGTCACGGGCCCGCATATTGTTTGTCAAGCCGTCGTTATCGTCTTCCTCCGGGTAAAGAAATATGTTGGAAATGGAACACTTTTTACATTTTACATCACTATGCAACATAATTTACTTCTTACATTTACATAACTATGCTTGTAAGTTGTAACTTGTCTAATTTGTGGAATTCTTTTGTCCTTGTATTTGTATATTGATTATTCATTTTGTCAAAAACAAAAAAAAACTCCCATATATATAATATATATTTTAACATATTTTACACTTTAATTAAGTTTGAGTTTGTGTAAATTTCACTTTAGCCTAAGGCTCAAATAATAATTCCAAACTGATCAAAAATCAACAAATCTAGTTCCTTTAGCAGTACAGTGTTTTGTATTTATTAGAATACACACGTTTACAAGCATATGTCGAGTGTAATATATCTCAATGATCTTACAGCTATCTATAAACAGATTATACAGGAAACAACAAAAGACTTGTGAGCTTCAAATCTGAAAATCTGTTGCAGGAGTCTTCTATGATGTTCTTCTCCCCGGTGTAAAAACACATTGGTGTGAGATTTTGTCAGGTAAGTAAAATTCAGACATGGAGGCAAAGGAGATACACACACACCTTTCTTCAAAAGATCTTCAAGATCAAGTCTTTGCAATGTCAACACAACTCTAGTTTCTTTCCAAACAAACATGAGAAGACCTTTAGATGTCACAAACAGTGAACCCGGTTTGTAACCAGGATACCTGAAACCATAACCTTTCGCAATACCTTCTCCTGCGTAAGAATACTCAAAATCTTCTCCATTTGTATCATCAAAAGGAAAGAGCTCAAAAGAAGGAGAACCAATCTTTACAGCAAACATTGCTGATCCATTAGGATGCATCACGTAGTGAGTACCTTCAAGTATTTTCGTCCCTATAAGAAGTCTCTCACTCTCATCTTGAGATTCTTCATAAGTGAGCATCACTAAAAACAGAGCCTTTCCTGGTTTCTCTTCAGTACATTTCCCAGGCGGCCAACCAAATGTTCCTCCCCACAAACCGGCGCACTCTTGACTGTTCACCGGGTTCTTAATCGGTAGCTTGTAAATTTTTGGGTTTTATCAGTTTCGTGCATGTTTGGCCAACCTCTGTACGAAGAAAGCTTAGTCTTTGAAGCTTTGACACTAAGACCAACAAAATCACCAGAGCTAAGAAAGCTTTGCAGATTCAAACGTTTAATCCCACTGCTTGTCGAAGAAGACGAGTTCTTTGAAGTACTACTTGAACTAGACTTTCTCAGGATATGCTTGATGCCACTTTTGAAATACTTGCTAAATCCCTTCCTTTGTGTGCCATGTATCTGATTCTCATCGTCCATGTCTCCATAACCAAGACTCTTCCAAAACTCATTACTGTCTACCTGATTTGGATCATAACACAACTCATCCTCAAGCTTCATGTGGTTCCAGTTCCCACCAAACTTATGCATCTTAAGCAGCATTGTTCTCCGTTCCAACAACATCGCTTCATCGTCTTTCGAACAGCGAAACAGCTTCCCACTTGATAGCTCAGGTTGAGGTAAACCTACACGTCCCGTCACTATCTCAAGCAACTTCCTCCTATCGCTAAAAGCTAGCTTACAAAACGAAAACCGAACATCGTTCTCAGTCTCACCGCACAACCTCTTCTCTCGCCTTGGCTCAACCTCGAGTAAAAGCACATTGCAACTCTTCTCAACGCCCATGACAAAACCAGGATACAAGGAACTGCATTCTCCGTCTCTCCCATGGAGGAAAAACGCGGCGGAGCCATCGAAACCGCAGATTATCTCAAACACCGGCGACCACATGACCCGACCTTGTTGAATCCCTAAAGGACCAACCTCTTGTGGGATTATCCGGCAAGCGACAAGGGACAAGAAACCAGGCATGACATGAACAACGTTCCCAAGTTCAGGGTTTTGGTGAACCCAAACCCCAACAAGAGGCTTCATTACCTCATCAAGAAACCTACAAAGCGCCTTGTAAGAAGAGATCCCGATTCGCCATTGGACTATTTCAGGTAAAGGAAGGACCTTTACTACTTCACACTGTACAATCCAGATCCTCTCTGAATCCACAAGGCTACAGAGGCTTTTGCAGCATAGGCTTAGATTGCAGATGTCACTTGGAGACAGAAATCGAGAGATTAGAGCTAATACATCTTCTGGAAGCGACAGAAGCAAACAAGCATCAGATGATTCCGATGGCAAATCGATGGTCTTCATCTATTACGAATCCAGTTTTAGCAACAGAGATCACTAAACACTAAACCCAGAAAATCGATTCCTTGAAGTAGGAAGGGTCTTACCGGATTCTGACTTGGAAGATCGAAACGCAGGCTTGGGTTTGAATCAGATCGCTTTAACAGACACCAAGAATTAAACTTTTGAATCACCCATCAAAGTAAATCGAAACTAAAACAAGATTGTGGGATTTTGTGGATGATCAAAAAGTAGAACTCGAGGATCGGAATCAGATAAAAACGGAGGAATCGCAGCCTATGCTATCAAATTTTGTGAGATTTTGAAAGAATTAGAAGAGAGCTAAAAGCAGGCGATGTGAGAAAAATCTTCCGTTTCAGGTGGAAGTTGACTACAACTGTTAAAGTCTTTACTCTTTACTCTTTAGTGCTTGTTTCACTCGCGATCTAACCAAACCACAACAAAGCAAAAAATTAAACAAATCAATATATAGTAGTTTTCCACAATACCAAGAACAAAACTACATATTCACAAATGCAAGATACTCATGGTATATATATATATATATACTTTTTGTATATTTAACATTAACACCTAAAAAAACAAAACTTGTATTTTTTTTTATAGGATTTTCTGCATTTTAACCCGTAAGTTACAAAGTTTTTGCAAAACAATCTTCAACCTCTCAAAAATGTAGGTCAAATCCTCACTTGATGGTCAACTGGCAATATAGTCCACATGTCATAATAGTCGTTTGGAAATCAAAACAGAATTTAAAACAAAATTAAAACGGGATGAAAGTTGTTATTAGTGTATTCAGTTCATTTTGTACATCGGTATGTTATAAACCGATTCTTTTCTTAATCTCTTGATTCCCGGTTCTGGTTTACCTTGGTCAGGTATTGTATATAAGCCAAACCACAATTGTAAATTTTATTGATCAATGAGAATGAAAGTTTATAATTTTCTCGTTGGTAAAATGGTAGCAGAGCGAAGACGATTCTGAAATCCCTCGATTTCGTACTTTCTTCTTCCTTGATTCACTTCGAATTCTCGGTTTTTTGTCAGAATTCTTCTCGCTTCCGCCTCGTACTCCGGTTTCCCAGCTTCGACGAGCTCAAATTCCGTTTTGGTCGTGTTCTACAGCTCCAATCGTGGTTTCATCTCCAGATTTTAGTTGTTCTTCCTGCTACAATGACCAAACGCAAATGCAAGTCGAAGTACCGTCGTTCATCACCAGATTCTAAGGAATATGGTTCTCCTACGTCTCAGAAATCTCCTGGTGCTTCCCAAGCTCGCGATGATTCAGGCGTTCTTCGTGGTGGTTCTGTGGCTCCGATTCACACTGACATTCGCAGATCTACAACCACATCACGATCTCTTCATCACTCGTTTGAGGTATCTGACTCTCCCGATAATGTTCATAGTTCGTATCACCTAGTTAGCTCAGATCATCCCGGTTTAGTTCTCGCTGCTGAAGCTTTAGATGGAACAAACTATGGTGTTTGGAGCATTGCTATGATTACTAGTCTAGAGGCTAGGAACAAGATGGGATTCATTGATGGATCGATACCACAACCTGCTGAGTATGATCCTTATTTCAATATTTGGTGTCGTTGCAATAGTATGGTGAAGTCTTGGTTGTTAAACAATGTTGCAAAGAAGATTTATACAAGTATATTGTATTTCAAGTCAGCCTCTAACATATGGAAGGATCTTCACACTCGTTTTCACAAGTCTAACTTGCCTCGCCTCTACAAACTTCGACATCAACTTCATTCGTTTCATCAAGGCAGTTTGGATCTGTCTTCTTTCCACACTCAGGTTCAATCACTTTGGGAGGAATTATCAAGTTTACAGATTACAGCTAACACTGTTGAAGATCTGGTTGCTGAGCGTGAGACAAACCGGGTTATTGATTTTCTTATGGGCCTTAACAACAATTATGAGAGTATTCGTAGCCGTATCTTGATGAAGAAGACATTGCCTACACTCTCTGAAGTCTACAATATGCTTGATCAGGAAGAGAGCCAGAAATCTGCTCATCAGGCTTGTGAACTTGTTCCTTCTGCTTTCCAGACATCTCAGACTCAAGTGGCAGCACCTGTTTTGAGTTCTCAACCCTCTGGTGAAGCATCTAAAGAAGATAAGCCTCTGTGTTCTTACTGTGGAAAACGGGGTCATGTTGTCGATCGTTGCTACAAGAAACATGGCTATCCTGCACATTTCAAGTTTAAGCACAAGAAGTCTGGTTCTGTTGCTGCGAATGTGACAGTGAGTGATTCTCCATCGGACCAAATAGCTACCACAGAAGATCTCTCTTCCACACAGATACAGCAGCTAGTGTCTTTCCTAAGCAGCAAACTCCAGGCTCCCTGCGTCACTACCACACCAGCGGTTCACTCTGTCTCAGTATCTTCCGACCTTTCTAATTCAACCGTTTGCCAATTTCTGGTAACTTTTACCCCTCTATCCTTTGTTCTTTTACCGGAATTAATAGGCCTTATGTCTGTTCTGTTAATGACAATAATGTAGCCATTGATGCGTGGGTCATAGACACAGGAGCAACTAACCATATCACTCATAATAAATCCTCATTTTCTACTTATAAAACCCTCTCAAATACAACCGTTACTTTGCTTACTGGAGTTCGTGTGAGCATTGTCGGTTTAGGAACCATACACTTGGGTAGAAATTTAGTGTTTACTGATGTTCTTCACATACCTCAGTTTAAGTTCAATCTCCTTAGTGTCAGTTCTTTGACAAAGAGTAGGGGTTGTAGAATCTGGTTTGATGAGTCTTTTTATGTTCTTCAGGAGCGTACACAGGGATTAATGATTGGAATGGGTAGACAAGTGGCTAATCTTTATTTTTTGGATATCGAGTCCATTTCCTCTCAAGGTACTCTAGCTTTTTCTATTGTTGCAAGTGTCTCTAGTCCTGACTTGTGGCATAACAGGCTAGGATACCCATCTATGTCTAAGATACATCCTATGTATGATGTTCTTTATTTTCCTAAACCAAAGAATAATCCTGATTTTCATTGTCGGATTTGCCATTTGGCTAAACAGAAACATATCCCGTTTGTATCTCATAATAATCTCAACAATAAACCCTTTGATTTGGTTCATATAGATACTTGGGGTCCCTTTTCTGTTCCTACTCATGATGGGTATAGATACTTCTTGACGATTGTTGATGATTGCTCTAGGGCTACTTGGGTTTACCTTCTTAAGAAAAAATCGGATGTGTTAGAAGTCTTTCCTACTTTTATCTCTATGGTAGAAACTCAGTTCGAGACTAAGGTTAAGGGGGTTAGATCCGACAATGCTCAGGAACTTAAATTCACCTTCTTTTATCAGTCCAAAGGCATTGTTTCCTATCACTCTTACCCTGAAACTCCCCAACAAAACTCAGTCGTTGAACGAAAACACCAACATATCCTCAATGTTGCTCGGTCCCTTCTTTTTCAATCTCATATCCCTCTTCCTTACTGGGGTGACTGTATTCTAACCACAGTTCACTTGATAAACCGTCTCCCTGCTCCTGTGCTCGAAGACAAAAGCCCTTTTGAAGTTTTAACAAAGAAGGTTCCTGACTATAATCAACTTAAAGTCTTTGGGTGCCTTTGTTATGCTTCTACATCCCCTAAAGGCAGACATAAATTCGACCCCCAAGCTCGAGCATGTGTTTTCCTTAGTTATCCTAACGGGTATAAAGGTTACAAGCTCCTTGACATTCAATCTAATGACATTTTCATCTCTCGACATGTCATTTTTCATGAAGAGCTCTTTCCTTTTGTTCATTCAGATCTTTCACAAGAAGCTTCTAATCTCTTTTCTGATCTGATGGACAACCCTCCTATGGATCCTCAATCTTCCGGTGTTGATACCTCTGTATCTTCCCCTTCTATAGAGAATGTGCCTTCTGCCATTCCTACTTTCGATGTTGGTGAACCCTCTGTTCCCACATCACATAGGAGGATCAAAAAGCCTGCTCATCTTCAAGATTATTACTGTGATTCAGTAATGTCTTCAACCATTCATGAAATTTTTCAATACCTTTCCTATGATCAAATTGCTCCGCTTTACTATTCTTTTTAGCCTCTATTGATAAAGAGAAAGAACCCTCTTCCTATACTGAGGCAAAGCATTTTCTGGTATGGTGTGATGCAATGGACATTGAGATTGTTGCTATGGAGGATATGGACACTTGGGACATCTGCTCTTTGCCACCTGATAAGCACTGCATTGGCTGTAAATGGGTTTTTAAGGTGAAGTTCAACGCAGATGGTAGTGTTGAAAGGTACAAAGCTCACTTAGTTGCCAAAGGATACACGTAGGAAGAATGTGTTGATTATAATGAGACCTTTTCTCCGGTTGTTAAGTTGACTTCAGTGAAGCTCGTGTTAGGTCTTGCAGCAATCTTCGGTCTCTCCCTTACTCAGCTGGACATCTCCAATGCGTTTCTCAATGGGGATCTTGACGAAGAAATTTATATGAAGCTTCCTCCAGGATATTCTTCACGAAAGGGGGACCTTCCGCCAAATGCAGTTTGTAAACTCAAGAAGTCCATGTATGGTCTTAAGCAAGCTTCCCGCCAGTGGTTTCTCAAATTCTCCACTACTCTTATTGGCTTGGGATTCACACAAGCTGCTTCTGATCACACTTGTTTCCTGAAAATTACTGCATCGGTGTTTATATGTGTCTTGGTGTACGTTGACGATATCATTATTGCCTGCAATGATGATTCCTCCATTGACACCTTGAAGACTGATCTCAAATCCTTCTTTAAACTGTGTGATCTTGGTCCTTTGAAATATTTCCTTGGCTTGGAGATTGCTCGATCGGCTGAAGGCATCTATGTATGTCAACGTAAATATGCGCTTGATCTTCTTGCTGACACTGGTCTCCTTGGCTGCAAACCGTCCTCTGTTCCTATGGACCCTCACGTGAAGCTTTCTAAGGACAAAGGCGGTGATTTTGTTGATGCTGAATCCTACAGACGTCTTATTGGCTAGTTGA